ATAGAGAAAAGTCGGACTTATTGGAAAAGTTTCCGTGTTCTCACCCAAAAAAATGTTAAGTTGCGTACAGCAAATCTCTGGAAGCATTTAAAGTGTGGTATTGAAAGGTTTTATGGAGCTCATTTTTGATGCAGAAATGTTCCTAGTGCATCTGATTGCATTTCTGCATACAAAATAAAATTTTGGAAAATATGTACTTCAATTTTTTTGGTGGTTGGGGGTCGATATAGTTCATTAGCAAATAGGATCCGGTACTGGTGCTTTATTATAGGCGATTTTTGCTAGCATTCCGTTCTTTGACGCTAGGGATCACTGATCTACGTCTAGTAAATTCCGTATATTGCGAGCCGTAGGAGTGTAGCGACCAATAACAGTGGATATTTGAGCTGTAGGGACATTGACTCCTAAACTGTAAATCTGTGTCGTTCTGTTAACGCACACCGATCTATTGCTCCAACGTTGACTTTCACCAAAAAACTTTTAGACATCCAATGGCACCATCCTAATGCAAGTTTTACTTACATATTTACAAATGCATTTCTTCACATACATTTACCTGTTAAGTATGTAGGTAGAACCTATCAAAGCTATAAATATTTCCCCCAGTGTCATCGCTTCATATTTAATAACCTGACGTAATTAAATGTCGCTGACAAAACACCGTTGAAATACACTTTATACTCTTATTCATATGTGTCCTTACGGTGATTTCAGCGCCGCAGGGAACCAATTCAAAATTCACATAATGCCATTTATATTTTAAAATACAAAAAAAAAGAAGAGCACGATGACTCAGTCGATTACGATTGTATTGTACCTACTTGCGTAAAAAGTAGCTGTGTTTGTGCGTGTGTGTGTCAGAAAGATCCCTATCTACTTGCAGCACTGTCCATACTTCTTTGACTTGTCAAAAGCAAAACAGCTCGAGTAAAGGCAAAAAAATAAAAAAATAAAACTTGACAAAACCTTACCCAACTCATATTTCAACATACAAACCACACGGGCGTGCATACTAAGGCTGTCAAAAACGTTTGATTTGTACAAGTATTGTGAGTCAATGTACAATATTTAGTACTATAAAATGCAGGAAATTCTATGTCCATACTTCTTACTCGCATACTCCTTAAAATAAAAATGTTTGTACATATGTACATTTTCTACTTTGTGTGCTTAAATCGATAGTTAAGTAGGTAAATATTTCAATATTTTTGGAATAACAAACTAAAAGTATTTGTGCCTTTGTACATAGCTGAGATTCATTGCAATTTATTTTATCGATGAAAATTTCCATTTATGCCCGGAATGTGCCCAGCACTCCATAAATGTGCCCAGCAAACAGAACAAAGGTTAGGAATGCTGTTGGGGAATGCTTTGTTTTTGCTTGGCGCTTAGCGCTTAGGCGCCAGCTTCCACGGCTATTTTGCATAAGTAAACATTTACATTTCAAGTGCCATCGTACCGACATATGTACGTATGTATGTATGTACGTGTGGGCTAATAAATGTTTACATACAAATGTACAAGTACATAAAGGAGTGTATTTGTTTTTCCACGCACCACACAAAATAGTTAACGGGTAAATGAAATAATAAAAATATATACATATATATTTATGTAAAAACAATTTAAACAAAAATTGTTAAATTAGCTTTTTCTATTAGTTTTGGCTATGGCTATGGCTAATTTATGAAATATTTATGCTCAAAATTGGCCAAGCTTAGGCGGCTTAAACTAACAAACAACAAGCTTAAAGTTATATTCCTCAGCATACATAAACAAGTATTTCACGAATTTCCCTTTTTTCGTCGCCCTTCGCGCGCACTGCGACCAACAAACGTAGACACAGCTTCTTTTCTCACAGTCAGATCGTCCGCTAAGTCTCGAACTTGGGCTATATCTCAAGACTAAGTGTGCGCAGACATATTTACAAATATACATACATACACTCAAATATCCCAGTTGGAAAATAGCTCAGCGATGACAATGTCATCTACGAAGTCTTTCATGCCATTTTATGGGTAAGTCTGATCTTATGACTGTCTTGGATTGACTACATTAGCTTTCTTGGAGAAGCGCTCAGAGAGAGCTTTTACT